AAACTGTTCTACTAATACATTAATGTCTTATTTTTTTGTGTACTCGATAACTGAAAGGTTTGGTGTTTTTATTGCTCCTTAGATCTGTGTTGGACTGTTGGCGAACACTTAGGCCTGTGTTATCAGAGGACTTGCTAACATGAAGAAAACGGTCCAGAGGTCTGTAATTATACGTAATTAACGGATTTTAACTTAATTACTTAATTTAAACTTTAGTAATTTTAACTGCTTCTATTAATTTTAATTGTTTAAGATTGCTGCGTGATAATTAACGTTAGTGTGATGAGCTAGCAATGTTAATGTTTAAGTGCTAACCCTTAAGGCTGCATGCATTTATTTGATCAAAAATAAAGTTAAAAAAGTAATATTGTGAAATATTATTACAGTGTGAAATAACTATTTTCTATTTGAATATATTTTAAAATGTAGTTTATTCCTGTGAATTTTCAGCATCATTACTGCAGTCTTCAGTGCATGATCCTTCAGAAATCATTCTAACATGCTGATTTAGTGCTGCATTTTTATTGGTAACGTTACTCAGTTATCAATAATGGTTCTTATTATTATAGTAAAAAAAACAGTTTTTGCCTCTTAATATTTCCTGGAAACATTTTTATGATTCTTTGATTAATAGAAAGTTCAAAAGAACATAATTTATTTGAAATATATATTTTTTGAAACATTATAAATGTTTTTACTTTTATCAATTTAATGCCTATATGCTGAATAAAAACTAATTTCTATTAAATAACACACACACACAAATCAAACATTTGAATGGTTGTATATCATGGTTTCTGAATATATTAAAGAGCATAACTGTTTTTCAATGTTGATAATAATCAGAAATTTTTCTTGAGCAGCAAATCAATCAGCTTATTGGAATGATTTCTGAAGGATCATGTGACACTGACGACTGGAGTAATGATGTTACTGAATTAATGAGTTAATACATTTTACAATATATTCACAAAGAAAATAAATATTTTAACTGATAATAACTTTTTAAATTGTAATTAAATTTATTTCTGTGATGGCAAAGCTGAATAAATAACTTTTCATTCATCAATAAATAAAAAGTATCACAGGTTCCCAAAGAAATTAAGCAGCACAACTGTTTCCAACACTGAGCTTAGATCAAAGCAATACATAATATTTTGAAGTACATTAAAATAGAAAACCATTATTTTAAATTGTAATACTTCACAATATTACTGTTTTTTTCTGTATTTTTGATCATATAAATGCTGGCTTGATAAGCAAGAGACTTATTTTAAAAACATTAAAAGTAGTAATGTGTTCAAACTTTTGAGCAGCCCAGTCCCCTTATTAAGCAGGCAGAATGCTTTAAGGTGCATCCTGAATGATAAAAACAGAGAGGG